TAGCGACATATCCGGGTTAGAAGTGCTTTATTTTTGATTTTCAAAAACTAATGGTCTGCCCTCCGTCATATTCATATCTCACAACATTTCATGAGGAAAGCTGCCGACACGTAGAGGTGGTACGAAAGATACGGCGGTTTTCAAAAATACCCAACCCCATTCATGAAATATGAGCCGAATTTTCAAGAATTTTCAAGAATTTTTCCCTTTTTCCATCAGCTTTCCCCCGTTTTCTAGCCAAAGAAAAGTTTGAGAAATTCAACACTTTTCGAAATACACCAAAAGAAAAACACATATCAAGAAGGTTGCGTCCGTTTTCGAAGACCCAGAAGCGAAGTGGGGAAACAGCAAGGCCAAGGTGCTCCTGCAAATCGGATTTGGAATTTTAATTGCAGTCTTGTTTCCTTGCGCCCCTTTTAAAGGTTTTGTAAGGTTTTTTCCCCATTTTAAAGAATTTTTAAGAATTTTTTCCCCCACCCGCCTCGAGAACCTGCCAAAGTAGATTGCAAGATTCCTAATTCCACATCGGCCAGCTCGCACGACTGACAAGCTAAATATCGCGCGATATTCGCGCAATGTGTTTTGCCGGATGGGCCAAGAGTATAGGATGGGCCAGGTAGAAGAATGGCCCAGTCGGTAGACTGGCCGTGGGGCCAGTCTGTAGAATGGGCCAGTCGGTAGAACAGTACCCGACGAGTATTTCACACTTTCAACTTCCGAAAAACTTGCACGTTGTAGCCAGGAATAATCGAAGATTACCTGGCGCCGCCTCCACTCCTGGGCTTGAATCGCATGATGTAGTCTTTGTCTGGAGAAATCGCGCCGTATGCTACCATGGAAACTGTGGCAAAGCCTGATGCTACATACGGGAAGCGAGTAGGTTTGGCACAGTAGTGAGGTACTAAGTTAGTGACTGGTTTGCACCGAGGTCGAATCATAGGATTCGAAAAGGCTGAAGCGACGCGCCGCAATCGACACGACGGAAATTGAGACTAAGGAAGAGCTAGAAACGCCCATACGTCTCCCGTCTTGCCGATCAAGCTACAGTACAGTACAGAATAGTATTAAAATGGCGGCAATTAGCTTATCAGTGATCGATAAGAACAACAAACCACTCTACGTTCGAGAGTTTGACCAGACTCTGTCAGCAGACCTATTGTCAGAAGAGCAACTCTTTGGTTTTCACTCAATTGAACCGAACAAAGAGGCCGTGGTTAGTAATTCGATGACATGTTCTCCGCGACATCAATTCGTAATGCATGCTGCTCTCGATAAATTTGACCAGCTAGCAGGCCCTATACCGGGATATGGTTGGCGGAAACCAGGCTTAAACCAGGGTATGTTCGTTGGTCATCTGTGCCCAGTTGAAGATCTAAGGGTATACTGTTATGTTCTAACTACTCGGATCAAGATACTCCTTGTGGTCGAAGACGATGCGGTGCCAGAGATGCAGCTATCAATCGACAATGAAATCAAATTATTGCTGACCAAGATACACGCACTCTATGTGGAAGATAATCTGAATCCGTTCAAAGATGTCGGTTCAACAATTATATCCAAGCGATTTGATGGGCTTGTTTATCAGCACATCTCTGACTTCAATCAGTCGGAAGGTATGATATAATCAACGCGTTTTGGTCTTCCTGCCGTAAAATCACAGAGAGAGAGAGAGAGAGAGAGAGTCGAAGATCTCTTGCACATGCCCTATAAAAGCCAGCAACAGTAGAAACTTATTCAAAATCAAAAATCAAATCGTATTATCAATTACAGATCGGAATAGCCGATAGCTTCGGATCCGCTGATCGATTGTGCATTGCTATGGAAGTAGCAAACAGGTGGAAATGGACTATTCGAAGAAGGCGATAACACAGTACTGTAACTCATATATGAAGTGCTAGTCTCGATTTGGAGAAGCGGTAGCAGGCCCGCGAAGGTGCCAATCAACTAGAAACGCCGAAGTAGAAGAATCAGCAATCGATTTCTTTACGCATGTACAAGAGCATTGCCATCTTACGTTCTGCGAGTACCTGAATATTCAATATGCGGACGGAAAATGTTCAAATGTGTTGCCAATCCACACGGTCAACATTCGCGAACGCGAAACTCGATTTATGCGCGTTTTGAGCCCACTTTTTCTGTTTCGTTTTGGTGCCGCCGGGCATAATCCAACATTACCAGGCGCCGCATCCACTTCATGACTCGATGTCTAGCTTGATTGGCCTAGGATGATTGCATACTACGAATTTGTACCAAACGAGATTATGGCAGTCCTCCATACGTAAGTAAGAGATGTAGGTTTTGCATCGTAAGCTTGGTAACTAGAATTAGGGACCGGATTTGGAAACGGGAATCGAATATTCGACTCAATGGACTCAAACGTGACACAAAGTTGGGACCTGAATGGTACCTAGCATTTGGTGCAGAAGAGATAAATCAGGAACCGGGTGGGATGGTGGGAATAAAAGATATAATCGTTCTGAACTGTTTCAGATGATCCTGGTTCCGTAGCTTTTCATCGTCTCAACTGCACTTGGCAAAAAGAATGCTTCTGTTCACGCCTTCGTTTGCCATGCCGATCGTTCCTGAATTTTTGTCCAATAAATTACAGTTACTTTGCTTAAGCGACTGACGACATGACTGTTGGCGTGAAGACAGATGTCTTCTCTTGCCAGTCCGTCTACCGTCTTGCCTGATCATAATCCTACGGATTACCAGGCGCCGCCTCCACTTCATGACTCGATGTCTAGCGTGATTGGCCTAGGATGATTGCATACTTCAAATTTGTACCAAACGAGATTATGCCAGTCCTCCATACGTAAGTAAGAGATGTAGGTTTTGCATTGTAAGCTTGGTAACTAGAATTAGGGACTGGATTTCGAAACGGGAATCGAATATTCGACTCAATGGACTCAAACGTGACACAAATTTGGGGACCTGAATGGTACTGAGCATTTGGTGCAGAAGAGATAAATCAGGCCAAGGAATGGTATGCAATCGCTTCAGGAGGAAACGGAAGAGAGGGCCAATACACTAGCGAGTGCATGGAGTGGGAAAAAGAAAAGAAAAGAAAGAAAATTTGTTGATGGATGGGGCATCATACAAAAAGGAATGGAAAAGTTGCGTAGGGTAGCAAGGTAGTTATATAAGAAATGTAGTTGCATTGATCATTGTGATGGCATCATTTTGTTGCATGCACAGATGCTGGGCAACGTTGCGCAGGTATGCCATAAAGGCATCTGATTTCCATCGGAGGAGGAACTTGATCTGGTCAGTGGTTGCTCCAGAGGTGTGGAGGAGGACACAGGCGCCAACTTGGATAGAGTGGGAAGAATACTGGATCTTGTCTTGTTTCGAGCGCCACTGTGTAGAGTGCTGCGGGGATTGTCGGTGGCGCCTGCTTTGGATTGGAGAACAGACAGGAGCGCAGGACGGAGCAAAGTTTGGGACTCGGCTGGAAATAATTGTAGTTTCTCATCCAAGGTAAAGTGCGAAATGTCTGCAAAAGTAATTGATGGTGAGAGAGTTTCAGGTTTGGGCGTGAAATAAAATCAGCAGCAAAGTTGTCATCACCAGGGATATGATCAGAAAGAGCAGTCAGAGGGGAGCGTTTGAGTAGCTGACCGTGCAAGTCGACCAAAAGGCGTGCAAAAGGGCTGTTGGTGCGGGCGTCGGAAATGGATACTTTACGTTTGAACTTGTCAAAACAGGTAACATCTTCAACACAAAATGCAATGGAAATGCCGTCAAAGGTGGCTTGGTCGCCAATATTTTTGTTGGCGGAAGTTTGGGCATACTCGGACAGGCGGTGGCCATCGAGGAGGCCGATACTGTTCCAGTCTTCACATGTTTTCCAGAGACCGTTGCGGTGGGCTTTGGTGTCGATATTGTGGTGCTCGAGGTGTTGTTGCATGTCAAGGGTGTAGGGCTCAAGTTTATTGGGAACTTTTTCATGGCGCTCCACTTCAGCAATGGTGGCATGAATATCGGGTGACATTTTGGTATCGCTCGGGTTGTTGTATCGGGGATCACGACCGGTAAAAAGGCAGATAAAAGACGCTGCTGCATGGAGGTACTGCTTGATTGTGGCAGACTTGATGTATTGTCCTTTAATTGTGCGACCGGTAGCGAGTGCCACTGTGTAGAGTGCAAAGGTGGCGATGCGGCGTTCGTGAGGGAAGTCGGGGCCATTCATTAAGTAGTTGTTGCGCATATTCATATCATAGCAAAACTTGAGGAAATGGAGTCGGCGGGAACGAAGTGTCCCAGATTTGCGGGGATCGTCGGTGGCGCCTGCTTTGGATTGGAGAATAGACAGGAGCGCAGGACGGAGCAAAGTTTGGGACTCGGCTGGAAATAATCGTAGTTTCTCATCCAAGGTAAAGTGCGAAATGTCTGCAAAAGTAATTGATGGTGAGAGAGTTTCAGGTTTGGGCGTGAAATAAAATCAGCAGCAAAGTTGTCATCACCAGGGATATGATCAGAAAGAGCAGTCAGAGGGGAGCGTTTGAGTAGCTGACCGTGCAAGTCGACCAAAAGGCGTGCAAAAGGGCTGTTGGTGCGGGCGTCGGAAATGGATACTTTACGTTTGAACTTGTCAAAACAGGTAACATCTTCAACACAAAATGCAATGGAAATGCCGTCAAAGGTGGCTTGGTCGCCAATATTTTTGTTGGCGGAAGTTTGGGCATACTCGGACAGGCGGTGGCCATCGAGGAGGCCGATACTGTTCCAGTCTTCACATGTTTTCCAGAGACCGTTGCGGTGGGCTTTGGTGTCGATATTGTGGTGCTCGAGGTGTTGTTGCATGTCAAGGGTGTAGGGCTCAAGTTTATTGGGAACTTTTTCATGGCGCTCCACTTCAGCAATGGTGGCATGAATATCGGGTGACATTTTGGTATCGCTCGGGTTGTTGTATCGGGGATCACGACCGGTAAAAAGGCAGATAAAAGACGCTGCTGCATGGAGGTACTGCTTGATTGTGGCAGACTTGATGTATTGTCCTTTAATTGTGCGACCGGTAGCGAGTGCCACTGTGTAGAGTGCAAAGGTGGCGATGCGGCGTTCGTGAGGGAAGTCGGGGCCATTCATTAAGTAGTTGTTGCGCATATTCATATCATAGCAAAACTTGAGGAAATGGAGTCGGCGGGAACGAAGTGTCCCAGATTTGCGGGGATCGTCGGTGGCGCCTGCTTTGGATTGGAGAATAGACAGGAGCGCAGGACGGAGCAAAGTTTGGGACTCGGCTGGAAATAATCGTAGTTTCTCATCCAAGGTAAAGTGCGAAATGTCTGCAAAAGTAATTGATGGTGAGAGAGTTTCAGGTTTGGGCGTGAAATAAAATCAGCAGCAAAGTTGTCATCACCAGGGATATGATCAGAAAGAGCAGTCAGAGGGGAGCGTTTGAGTAGCTGACCGTGCAAGTCGACCAAAAGGCGTGCAAAAGGGCTGTTGGTGCGGGCGTCATTCATCCATTTCTCAGTTGGAGTGTTGTCAGTGCGGTTGAGCAGGACTGGGAATTGGGAAAATCCGTTGGGGAATTTGTGGGCCAGGCCTGGATGGGCATGGGAAGTTCCTTCAAGGCGGACAACCGTGGCAACTTCCTGGAAAAAAGCTACCAAGAACTCAAGGCTGTTGATTTGGACGTAGTTGGGGTTTTTGGCTTTCGATTTTGTACCAGCAAAAATATCTGGGCTCCAAACTATGCGGAACCAAAATAGAAGTTCGTCGGAATAGGCGCCTCCTCCAAGAAAGCTAGCATCTCCGTACGACGTGAAGTGGGGGTCTCGAGGGATCATCTGGGGAATATAGATTTCCCACGTCTCTGTTTCGAGGCTGTGCTTGATGGCTCGGAGTTCGCGGAGCACAGGTTCGTCAAGGCGGAATCGTTTGATTGCGTTCCATAGGAAAGTAGCTGCTTCCTTTCCAATAAGGGAAGCAAGGCGGTAGCGGAGGGATGGAGGGAGTTGGTCGGAGATGATTTGGACTTTGTCGTTGCGTTTCATGTAATGTTTGATGGATTGGTGGCGGGATCGGAGAAATTGACTCAGGACACGTTGCAAGTTGAAGTAGGAACAACGCATCCATCGACAGACTGTGGTTGCAGTTGAAACGTGCCCTAGAAGAATCGCAATATCGCGAAGGGACAGAGACGGATTCGCCAGTGTTTCTGAAAGGAGTTTGAGGAGGCGGTCCCGTTTGATGGAAGGTAAACGCACTGTCATTCGTCTCGAGTTGATGAGCCATCCAACTGTTTTGCGTTTGTGGGAGAAAGTGTTGGCGAATTTTTCCCAAGATATGCAATCGCGGATCCCGTTGGATGGGTTGGGGAATCCCAATAGGATGTATAGGGCAAGGATGCTGGCTGAAATTGTTTGGCGCAAGAATAGGGCCACGTCGGCGTAGAGGCAATCGTCAACATGGTGGTCAAAGGTTGGGGACTTGCGGGATCCGTCTGCGTTTACAACCCCTGGATTTTTAGAGTCGGGTTTGGCAGGAGTGAAAGCGGCAATGTCTGATGGCGTTGGAAGGGGAGCAAGGGATAGCTTGGGGAGGTATTTTGCGACTCGTGGGATGGTGGTGACTGCAGCATACCAAAGGGATTGGGCGAGCTGCTGGCGGACCATGGCGACAACTTCCCATTGGGCTGGGCTGGTGTTGTCGCCAAATGAGAGACCCGTACAGAAGAAGAGGAATCCAAATAGCATGAACATGTGCATGCCAACAACATTGGGGTTCCATTTGACATGGCGGAAGGCGCCAGATACATCATCGTTGCAAATGTAGATTTCCTCTTTTGGGTAAGTGATGCGAAGGTTGTAGATCCAGATCAAGAAGTTGGGAAATGACCTCGGGAAGCAGATTTCGGGTTCAGTTTCTTTGGAAGTGAAATCGTTATCTTTCATGGCTGTCAGGGAAGGATGGTGGATGGCATCAAAGATGATACGGGGTTTGTGATATTCGTGACATGCATCAAACAACCCGAGTGGAGTAGTGTGGGCGTCTTGGATGTATGGAAGTAGGGCTGGGTTGGCTGCCAGAAGGTAGTTGCGAAGGATGTCTTTTTCGACTGCGCTTTGTGTTTTGCTAACGTTGTTGTAAACCGTCTTGTGATTACCGTAGGCAATTAAGGTGCGCAGGTTCTCATCCGTCGATTCCGCATTGACGTTATTGGGGGCGCCATCGAGGAAGACGCGTTTGAGCTGGTCGATGAGGAAGGGGTCAACATTGGCTTCACGGAGAATGGGTTCGAGGGTTGGCCGGTCGCGATGGGCACCGGTGTGGATGTTGCCAACGAATTGGACTACGGTTGGGATGCTGAGGTCATAGTGGAGTAAGCATGCGGTGAACATGCGGCTCCATCGATGCATGGCAACGCTGGGGGTCAGATTCGGTGGTATTGGTTGTTGGAGGGGTCGGAAGTCCACAAAGCGGTGTTCTTTGATGAGAAGGGAGAGGAGATGGATGGATGGGCACACGTGGAAGAGGGTTGCAAGGTCGGTCTGGCTCAGGTAGCAGCTCTTCAGCAAAAATATCCAGGTATGTTCAAACTTATGCTCTGTGCTGAACCACCTGTCTACGCTGTCCTTACCATGCGGAGAATTGACGGCAAGAAAGACCGGGGATGGGAGTTTGGTGGTTGCCCAGGCCTCGCGGTCGCGTTTGGTCATAGATGGGGTAGACGAACGACCTTGGACGGAGACTTCAAGGAGCTCTCCAAATTTTTCTTGCTCTGCGTCAGTGAATTGGTAGTACTGGGAATCAGGAGGTAGGGCGGATCGGTGGTGTGCTGAGGGCGCTGCGGAAGGTTGGCTCGTTGTAGGAGTGGAGATGGAAATTTGGGGCAGTTGGGGTTGGGTTGACACTGGTGTCTGGGTGGGTTGGTAAACGAGGCTGCTTGGGTGAGGGATGATGCATGTAGAGTACTCAGGGACTTGGAGTGGGTGTGGGGGGAATGCACAGAAAGGAAGTGGAAAGTAAGTCACTGACGGGTTGAATGGTATTTAAGTAATGGAGTTGGTGGAACTAACCATGAGGCTTTGGGGCCAAACGGGTCACCCCAGGGGTTTTTTCAATGAATTTTTCAAATGCCTGGGTGTCGGCAGATCCCATAGTTGCTGCAAACTGTTTGGTGTAGTGGATATTGTGGCAGCGGGGGCGGTTGCAATGGTAATTGGCAAATAAGAAATGGGAACAGAAGGCTGCCTGTTTGCCGGTGATGGGATGTTTACATTTGAAGGGGGCAATTGGAAGTCGGCCTGGGCCGTCATACGGCAGGTATCCGGGATGAGTTCCTTGAGGTGGGTGCTTTGCGCGTTTGGTTGGGTCGGGCCGTTCACGGGAATTGGGGCTCTCACGTTTGGGAGTGGGGGTTGGTTTTCCATTGAGAATAGCATGCAGGTTGGGGCATGTGCCGTACGGGCCAAGGTTGCCCATACTAATGGAGAGATTGATGTGGCTGATGGCTTGTGTGACTCCACTGAAAGCGTTCACGAACGTGTCTGCCATGATCGGTTGGCCATTACGAAGTTTACTCTGAGTCGTTTTGTTTTTTGCGGCTCCCACAACAATTTGCAAGATCTGGTTCATTTCGAGGAGGAGACACAATGGGAGGTGTGGGACTGCGGCATTGTAACGGATCCAATCTTTGGCAGCAGGTGTGTGGAGGGCGTTCATGAAATCCTCCAAGAGTGTGACAATTAACGGGGGGTCATCAAAGGTAAAGTCTTTGACACAGTATTTGACAAAGGCAAAGAAATTCGCTAACATCTTGATCAGAGCTTCGACAGAACTGACGTCGCCATGAACAAAGATGTCTGTCTTTTTTGCGGCTTGCTTGGACTTGTCTTCTTCCATGGCTTCCTGGCGGATTATGTCTCGGCCTTCCAAGAGGAAAGTGGTGTACCTGACATCATTTTTGTTCGGTGGGAGCCAAGCGAGGAGGCTGAGAAGTGAGGTGGCGTCGTGGGGGTGCATGGTGAGGGGTCAAACTCCAAAGCTGCATGTTTTGAGGACAGTGAGTGTAGCGTGTTGGAAGAGGGCAATATCGAAGTCGACGTTGCGGTCGTAGTTGTTCCGAGTGGTGAGGGTATCGGTGATGTGGGCAAAAGTGTCATGGAGGTGGCGTAGGGCCTCTTTGATCGAACCGATTTCCAAGAATGTGGCTAAGTCGTCAGTGAGGACGGATGGGTGGAATTCGTTGACAGTGGAGCCGTCGAGCTGGATGACCGGTTTGACTCGGCAAAAAATCAAGCTGAAGGAATCTTTGGCACTGGCTGAAGTGCGGGCCAGATCTTTTTCCTTGGTGCTGTCATTGGCGCCTTTGAGAGCGTTGGCCATGATCTGGGCAAAAAGTTCGCTATCGAATGGGGCCCCTGCTGGAAGGGGGGCTGCGAGAGCTTCTTGGGTAGTGACATGATTAGTAGATGCTAAAGTAGAGAGGGCCGAGTGCCATTTGAATTCTTCGAAGAGGGCTTTGTATATGGGGATCTCAGCTGCAAATGCACTGACGATGGATGGGGAATATGTCAGATGCGTAGCTAGGTTGCTGTCTAGAAATAGATGGGTTGGGATGGTATCGGCGCTGAAGATGTGGGCGTGGGAATGGATACTCTGGGACTCATTGTGATCGTGAAGGTACTTCATTGCCTCGTACCAGAGCCGGAATTGGGGGTGGAAGGAGTCCAGATTGGCTGGCGGGGCGGTGGATAGCTTAAGGCTTGGTGGGATGTTGGCACCAGGGTAGATGGGGAAGAATTTTTTGACTTCGGTGAACGCTCCGTCCCCACTGGGCCAGTGGATGTCCTCAGGGGGGTCGGTGCTGTCGGGGGGCCAAGGCAGCGTGGGCAGAGTATTGGGCGTCATGAAGGTGCCGGGCTTGACATTCTTGAGCGAGGTCATCTCGGGCAATAGAGATGACGCTGCTGCCAAGGGCATCTAAAGAAAAGGCAACTGGGGTGGGGGCATCATAGCTATCATTCGCGGATACCCAGTGCAAGTTTGGGCCGACCTGCTTAGCGCAGATGACTTGCCGGAGGGTACCATCGGCGCCATCGAAGTAAGCAAATCCGTGCGCTTGGGAGAGGAGGAAGTTTTTGCACTCACTAGCGACATGGGTGTGGAAGTAGTTGGAGAGGAGGAGGTTTTCCTTAGTAGTATCCAGGGGTAGGTCCTTGACGGTTGTCAAGGCAGAACGACCGACCTGGAGGATGGCATCAAGGGTGCGTGGGGGAAAGGTCTGCATTGGTTCAATGAAATGGCCAATACTGGAGATTTGTGAGTAGGCTATGGAAACAAATAGTGACTATTGGGGGTAATGTTTAAATGAAATTTGTTGGTTGGAACGGTCGGTTCTTAGAGGTAGTAGTGCCTAACGGAAGGATGCCTGGTGGAGTATCCAGGGTGGGCCATCATGGTGTTACAAACGGAAGGCTGGGTGTAGTCGGAGTGCCGAGATGCGCTGCCAGTCTTTGGCGAAGGCAATGGCGACGGGACTCACACGATTGGCTCATAGCGGGTTTGGTGCGGAGGTCCACGGAGGTGGAGTTGGCCGAATTGGGCAGGGTCTCACTCGAACTTTTGCGAAAATGCCAGTGCCGCACAGGATTGGAACGGGTCCGGGGGAGCAGGAACTTGGCGGTACGGGTGCATGGCGGTGGATGGTCTGCCACCAGTAGGTAAGTGAGCATGGAAATGGGAGATGCTGCAGGTAGGGGACTGGTTGAGATTTCCAGGGAGAATAGTTGGTTGTTGACTGGCAACAAATGCACAGGCACATTGAATAGGGTGGTAGCATGGGGCTAAACCACCTGACACCGGGTGTCGGTTCAAATATCAGGAATTTGAGGGTGCCACCGGTGGGCAAGTTAAACAGCGGATGGGCGCTGACGCAACGGTGCATTTTGATAGGGCTCCTGGGAGGGAGGTGGTCGTTGACGGTCAACGAATGCACAGGCGCATTGAATA